TGTGTAATAAGTTATTGGTTATTAAGTTATTAAATTATTTTTAATTCATAAAAAATTGACAATTTAATCATTATATATATAATAAATCAATAACTAATAACCTAATAACCCTTTTTACACAACCCCATAATTCATAATTCATAACCCATAATTTCAAAGGTCATATTGTTTTATTTTTCGATACAAAGTTCTTTCCGAAAACCCCAAATCTTGAGCCGCATCTTTACGTCGTCCGCCATGTTTTTTAAGGGCTTTCGCAATCAAATCCTTTTCCATGTCAACAACAGAAAGGCTTTCGTCCACCACTTCCATTTTATCAAATTGATGCTCATTTTGTTTTTCGATCAGCACAGGTTTTATTTTTCCTAAAGCATCAGAAGGCGAAGCAATCATATTTTTCGCAGGCTCCGAATTTTCCTCCTCAAAATAATAATTGGAAGTATTACGAAAAGCACTCGGCGACGTGCCGGGTGCTTGCAGTTGTTTTAACTGTTGAACATCAGAAACATTCAAATTATTGCTACGAATTAGCTCAAAAACCAATGACTTTAGGTCATTTAAATCATTTTTCATATCAAACAATAATTTATATAAAATCTCGCGTTCTTGCATCGAAGCCGTACCATTGCTCGCATTAAAATCAGAAACCATGGGCAAATTGCGGTTCAATAAATTAGGCACAAGGCGTGTTAATTCTTGTGCAGACACCATTTTATCCTGTGCCAAAACCGATACCTGTTCCGCCAGATTTTTTAGCTCGCGTATATTACCGGGCCAACGATAGTTTTCGAGTACGCGCTGCGCTTCAGGCTCTAATTGAATGGGTGTTGTGCGATATTTTTCCGCAAAATCATGTGCAAATTTTCTAAAAAGTAAGTTAATATCTTCGGGTCTATCCTTTAGGGCTGGCACGCGAATCGGCACCGTATTCAAGCGATAATACAAATCTTCTCGAAAACGCCCACGTCGCACATTTTCCAATAAATCGACATTGGTGGCTGCAATAACACGCACATTGGTCTTTTGTACTTTCGACGCACCAACGCGTATAAATTCGCCCGATTCGAGCAAACGCAACAAAAAAGCCTGCGTATCTAAAGGCATTTCTCCAATTTCATCTAAAAAAATAGTGCCCCCATCTACGGTTTCAAAATAACCTTTGCGCTCGCCTGTCGCACCCGTAAACGAGCCTTTTTCGTGCCCGAAAAGCTCCGAATTAATCGTTCCTTCGGGTATCGCGCCGCAGTTGATAGCGATAAATTGGTTGTGTTTTCGCGCCGAAAGCGAATGAATAATGCGCGAAAAAACTTCTTTTCCGACACCGCTTTCACCCGTAATCAACACGCTAAGGTCGGTATTGGCTACTTTTATCGCAGTATCGATGGCTATATCCAAAGCTGGTGCCCTGCCAATAATGCCAAAGCGTTGTTTGATGGATAAAAGCGTTGGATTGTTACTCATAGCTAAATTATGTTTAAATCTCTTTTACGATTGCGCCTTTCAAAGTCGCGCTTGTTGCATCATTTACCTTTACCCAGCAGTAATCTCCCTTTTTCAAGCCTTCTATTTTTGGAAATACAATCATTTTATTTTGCGAATTTCTACCTTTAAATGCTGCGTTTGATTTTTTAGAATCGCCTTCAATCAACACTTTAAAAGTTTTGCCTATATCCGCCAAATTGTGTTGATGCGAAATCTCTCGCTGTACCGTTATGACTTCTTCTAATCGTCGGCTTTTTATTTCTTGCGGAACATCATCTGCCAACTTGCGTGCTGCCAAGGTGCCCGGACGCTCCGAATAACAAAACATATAAGACATGCTGTATCGCGCAAAACGGATTATCGAAAGTGAATCTTGATGCTCCGCTTCTGTTTCGCTACAAAACCCTGTGATAATATCTGACGAAATGGCACATTCGGGCATGATTTCATAAATGCGATTAATTTTTTGCATATACCACTCGCGGTCGTAGGTGCGGTTCATCAACTCCAAAATACGGCTATTGCCCGATTGAACGGGTAAATGAATGTATTTACAAATATTTTCATATTTTGCCATCGTCAAAAGCACTTCATCTGTAATATCTTTGGGGTGAGAAGTCGAAAAGCGCACCCGCAAATTAGGGTCAACTAAAGCAACCATCTCCAATAAATCTGAAAAATGCGCTATTTTTCCCGTCTCTGGGTTTTCCCATTTATAAGAATCCACATTTTGACCCAAAAGCGTTACTTCTCGATAGCCTTCTTCAAATAGTTGTCGGGCTTCGGCAACGATGCTAAACACATCACGGCTGCGCTCGCGCCCGCGTGTAAATGGCACAACACAAAACGAACACATATTGTCACAACCGCGCATAATCGAAATAAAAGCCGTCACACCGTTGCCATCTAAGCGCACAGGGCTGATATCCGAATATGTTTCTTCGCGTGAGAGCAATACATTGATGCCTTTTTGACCCTCCTCGACAGTAGCGACAAGGCTCGGCAAATCGCGATAAGCATCAGGACCGACCACCAAATCAACCAATTTTTCTTCTTCCAAAAACTGTTTTTTTAGGCGTTCTGCCATGCAGCCCAACACCCCAATCATCGTATCAGGGCGTTGTTTTTTTATTTGGCTAAAGGCACGAAGCCGATTGCGCACCGTTTCTTCTGCTTTTTCGCGGATAGAACACGTATTAATAAGGATTAAATTGGCATTTTCGACGTTGCGCGTGGGCATATAATGGCTTTTTGCCAAAATAGACGCAACGATTTCGCTATCACTAAAATTCATCTGACAACCATAGCTCTCGATGTAAAATTGCTTATTGCCAGCGGCAGCAGGCGTGAGTGCATCGAAAAAAACTTCGCCTTGACGGTTTTCGTCCATCTCTTTTTTTATACCACTAAGCGTTGGATTATTATCGTACATCTCTGTAATTCGTTTATGATGATGATATTGAGATATTTACACGAACTAACTAAAACTTTAGTTGCTAAAAGGTTGCAAAGCTACATTATTTTTTTTTAAAAATGACAAAATGACAGGAATTTATAATCGCATGGGGTTGTGTAATAAGTTATTAAGTTATTAGGTTATTAAATTATTGGTTATTAGGTTATTTTTAATTCATAAAAAATTGATAATTTGATCGTTGTATATAATAAATCGATAACTAATAACCTAATAACCCTTTTTACACAACCCATCATAATGTTTCGTAAATTTGTTATATACCCGATTCTGGGACTGAAAAGAATGTATTTTGCATAATTTTTTTATCTGAAAAATTATAAATTTTACTTTTAAAATTGTTTTTATTTTACTCTTTTTTACTATATTTATTTGTTTTTTATGGCAAATATTTTTTTGAAATCTGCGCCTTAATTTTACCTTGAAAAAAAGGATATTTTAATTCTAACGTTTCATCTGTTTTCTATCACTTATTTTTTTTATTAAAATTAAATATCAAAATTTTTATATCTCAAAGAATATGCTTATATTTGTAAATGTTTAATATCAACGCCTCTCAAGCAGCCTCTCTAAGCGTTATCTTGTTGATTGTCAATACATTAAACAAGTACCTCTTTGAGAGGCTTATCCAGTGAAAGTAGGATTGAAACAAGTCACCTTCACCAGGTGGTTCTATATAAGAAATACAAAATCTTTGAGAGGCTTATCCAGTGAAAGTAGGATTGAAACATTGTTTTTTTAATTGTTATTTAAATAAAATATAAGACTTTGAGAGGCTTATCCAGTGAAAGTAGGATTGAAACATCTCTACAAATGGATGACCAGAGTTCTTAATCCTTTGAGAGGCTTATCCAGTGAAAGTAGGATTGAAACACTTTGGAAAGGAGTACCATCCAACCAAATATAGTATATTCTTTGAGAGGCTTATCCAGTGAAAGTAGGATTGAAACACCATAATAGATATGGTTTTTTGACAGTTATCTTTTTTTTTCTTTGAGAGGCTTATCCAGTGAAAGTAGGATTGAAACAATATAGGGAAGACTGTCCCATGATCAGGCATACTGTCTCTTTGAGAGGCTTATCCAGTGAAAGT